AGGCCAGAGGGACATGCAGAATAAAGAGGGAAGGAAGAAGAAGAAGAAAAAAAAAAAAATGGGAAAGCCCAACCCAAAGGATACACAGTTATACTGTTTTCCCACCAGGTGTTTGACTTTCATTGTGGTTTGAAGGGAAATGCCCCCACCCCCACGCCCGCCACCACCCCCACCCCCGCCACCACCCCCACGCCCGCCACCACCACAGGTTCACATGTTTGGACACTTGGTCCCCAGCTCGCGGTGCTGTTCCGGATGTGGAACCTTTAAGAGATGGGGCCTCACTGGAGGTAGTGGTTCTCAGGGGACAAGCCTTACATTTGAAAGCCTGACGCCCACTCCCTGCTGTCACTCTGCTTTTGTATGATCGATGCAATGTGGCTGGCTGACCTTATGTCCCTGCTGCCATGCGTGCCCCTCCATGATGGACTACTGTGTCCTTCTGGCACTGTGAGCCAAGGTAAACTCTTTCTCCCTTAGGTGCTTTGTTCAGGGTTTTGTTTTGTTTTGTGTTTTGTTTGTTTTGTTCTGTAATCACAGTAACAGAAAAGCAACTAAGATAGCGCAAATATGGACTTGCTGGCAGGTGCCCTGCATGTGGTTTGCTTTTACTTTGAAAGGTTTACTTGCTTTGTTCCTACACTTGGACCTATGGGAAGGGACAGTCCTGTGTTGCATCCTCTCTTGGGCGATGGAACTTCCCCCAGCCCGTCCCTACCCACCCCCTGGCCAGCAGAAGGAGTCTTCCATGAGCACACAAATGTGTCAATCCATAGAACTCAGCCTCCAACAGTAAGACCTTACTTTGAACCCAGCCATCTCCCTGTTCCCCCAAGCATGGCTTCTCCTTTGACAAACAATGACCCAAGGCCTTTGGTGGAAGAGGAGGGGGGTGCAAAGTTGCTGTTTGGGAATTTAATTTGCTGTAATCGACCCCTCTTAGCATGCAGAGTTACACAGTGCGAGGAACAGAATTAATCTCTCCCAGAAAGAATTGCCTTTTTGCTGTTATGAATCTAATCACTTACGAGACTGGGTTGGCATTTTGGGTTTAGAGGGAGCTCTCAGGAATGAACACCACCAGATTAGGTTTCAAATGCCACCTGAATAGGGCACTTCATTGGACGGGGAGGGGAGAGGTGCAGGGGGGGGGTCCTGCAGACAAAAGATGCAATGCAGAGCTAATAGAGGCTCTTATGTCCTTTGGTTCTTTCAGAGACCCACCATGCAAAGAGACAGTTATGGAATGAATGCATCACCATGGGCCTCTTGGGATACCCTGTCCCTATCCCTTTATTCCCATGATGCTACATTCTCTAGAGCAGGTTGGCAGGCCTGACAATCATCATGGCACCCCCATTATACCGGGGGATGTGTCTTCTCCATGCATGCTGTTTTATAATCCTCAGAGGTGGGATTTCATAGCACAGCAGTGTGTTTGCCTTTGACATTCCCCTAAGCAGGATTTATTGCCTCCAAGACAGATGTGACTTGAATCGATTATGCCTTGTAAGCGTGCACTCTCCAAGCAGCCTCTAGGCTCTCTGCAAGACTTTTGTTTCTTTTTCCTGGCTTCATTCAATGTGCGGCTGATGTCAGAGAATCTCATCATAATCAAATACTACTAAGAGACCTGTGTGTACCTAACTAAGATACTTAGGAAGCCCACCAAGTCAAGGCATGTAGTTCATTCTCTGCTTTTGTCCCACAAAATCCAAACCTACAAATTTATCCATTGATATAGTAAAATGCAGAGACAGGAAGGCTATGCTTGTAGGCTACATTAACATTCTGTTGATACTCTACTATTGCACTTAGAATAACAGATAAATATACCCATCTGTCTTTGGAAGAAAGATATGAAGCAATGTTTAAAAATAGATGGAAGATAACTGAATGTCACAAAAAAACCATGGTGGTCAATGATGATTCTCACTAAAAAGATGTATTTCTAGATGTCTACTACAAAACTCAAAACTACATTTTGGAGCTGGAGAGATGCTCAGTAGTTTAGGACACTTATTGCTCCAGCTAAGAACTCAAAATCAGTTCCCAGAACCTATGCCATGAGGCTCACAACTGCCTGCAACTTCCATCCCTGAGCATCAGATGTCCCTTTGTGGCCTCTGCAGGCAGTGCACTTATGTGCACATACAAACAGATACACATGCACATAATTACAAATGAAACAAATCTTTAAAAAAATAAAGCGAAACCACCTATTACCCTAGTCATCCACAAAATGCCATTCCCTAAACAGCATATGGGATTAGTGGTATTAAACTGAAAGAGGGCACCCAGAGATTCTGTGCAACCCAAGGTGCTGGGAGGTCATGATTTACTTGCTTTCCGCAAAACTTCCAGAAATTTAGTGTGTGTACTTGTTTGAAAGAAAAGCTACGAGGCTGGTACCTTGAAACTAAACTAAGTACATCCCACTTCATCCTTTATAAACCTAAAAAACAAGATTTTTAGCTAACAATTTCTAAACAGAAAGAGGCTTGAGACAAGAATGTATCTAGACAGCGCATGACAATGCTTGACCAACTTCCTGTGACAATTTTCCTGGAGACACAGACCCAATCTACCTTGATTGTAGAGTGTGGGACTAGAGAGGAAGTGCCACAAAACCCTATTGTACTTTGTTGAAATGAGAACATTTTATACGTGTCAGTTCAGGAACAGAAGAAAAGGAGACAAGGAAATATTCTGACACAGGAACCTTGTGAGATGGGTTACTTTAACTCCCAAAGGAAAGCAAGAAAGCAAACAAGTTGGGGTGGGGGGGGGGGGAATGAAGGAAGGAAGGAAGAAAGATTACTAAAGTCAATAAGGATTCAAGATGCCAATCCAACATTTGATGGGAAATAATCTTAATAATGTAGATATTTTGACATATAGTGATGATACATATTTCTGGGGTGCAGGGTGGTAATTCACATGGGCACAATGTGTATGGCACAAACTGGGGTGAATAGTATCCCCAGTTTCTTCCATATGCCATTGCACTGGGACACTAAAATCTTCTTTTTTACAGTAATCAATAAAACTAGCAATGAATTCACCAGGTGTGGTGCTGCATGCCTGGAACCCTAGGAGGACTGCTGTGAGTTCAGGCCCAGCCTGGGCTACCTACCTTGGAGGACTGCTGTGAGTTCAGGCCCAGCCTGGGCTACCTACCTTGGAGGACTGCTGTGAGTTCAGGCCCAGCCTGGGCTACCTACCTTGGAGGACTGCTGTGAGTTCAGGGCTATCCTGGGCTACCTAGTGAGATCTTTTCTCAAAGCACCAAAATAGCAATAATACATGCACTGTTATGAACTCTAGTTGCTCTGCTGTGCTGGGGACTCACTGCTCCGTAGCCCTCAGCAATGGGAGCCTGTTTTCCCTCCGATGCTAAAGGTTTTTAAAAGTTCAGTGCTCTGCATTAGTAAATTCAATTCAGATGAGCAAAAGAAATGAGGAGGCTTTTATTCTCTGGGATTTTGCAAACTAGAACATAACACACTTTCCTTGGGGATTCATTTCCACACTTCCCTGGGCTGCGATGTCAGCGATGGGATTGGGTCCAGGCATTGAGCAAAGCCACGCTTTCAGGAACAATTTGCTTTCTTTATTCAGTAAATTGCTCTAAATTTTCCCTTTTATTCCAAGTCTTAAAATTGGCTGTTGTGGCTTTAGAAGCCTTCTTTTCTCCCCCAGACAGGCTTGGGAAGGAAGGGAAGGCTGAATGGCTGCTAGCTAAAAAGAGAGTCTGGAAGAATAAGAATTTAAATGAAGGTTTTGCATAATTTGGGGCTCAGATCCCATGGGGGCAGCCTCAAACACTGACAGGTGAGGAATGCAGACTGGTCCCACCCGCTACAGTCTTGGTGAGATGAAATCCAGATTTCTGGATTGATCATGGACAACAAAACACAAAGCATCATCCTGGCAGAAACAAAACGTAGAAGGGTCGCGGCTCAAGACTCTCCCACCCAGAGCAGAACTCAGGGAACAGCTGTACCGACCTCACTTCTTCAACAGAAAGCAAGCTTCAGAAAAACACTTTGGAGACACTTCGCACAAGAATCCCCCAAAACAAAGGCAGTTTCCTAAAAGTACTTCCAGATTCCCAAGAGAGAGAAATGACAATGAATTCTAGAGCAGTTTGCTGTAACCAAAGAAGATACCATCTGGCTCTTAAAACACCTGGTGTTTGCCCATCAACATATCTGGAGAGACCCAGTAACAAAGACAGAAGGAGAAGAAAGATTACGTTTAAATATTTCAATAGAACCGCCTATGAGGAGAAACCTTGGAAAACAACATCTTAACAATAGTGCAAAATGGGCAAGTCCCCCTACGGCGTATTCATTGCTAGTGTCTTAAAGTGCTGATTCATTTGCTAGGGGCACATCAGACACAGCTAAATATTTACCAGCTACTCAGAGATACACTTTTGGATCAGGCCTTGCTCCACACCGACACCCTTGCCAGTTTTAATGCCTGCCAAGTGTGAACGTAAATGCATACTTTCTCTTCCTCAAGACTGAGGGGGGATGTGCTCCATTCTCAAAGGCAACACATACATTATTTTTAAGCTTCAATACCCTGACTTAAAAAATACAAAAAACAAAACAAAAACAGTAAAACCTAATGAAAAGCCCAGTCTTCACTGTATCAGAGTACCTCTTAACAAACAGTTGTTTCTGGCAACTGGTGATTGGCTTGATAGTTTAGCATCCTTGGATAGCTATTTCCCCAAACAAAACATTTAAAGAAACCACAAAGACAATCCCAAATCCATTAGAGGCCTGTCCAACCTGTGGCCATGAATAAGACCCAATATAAAATCCTAGACTTGCATAAAACATGATGAGAATTTTTGTGATATTTTCTTTGTTGTTTTTGGTAACTAAACTGTGCAATTCATGAGTGTGAACTTTTTAGATGACACTGCCGTGTCGTAATGACAAAATCCTGGACAATCCTGGGCCATTCACAACTGTTCTTTGTACCTGGGCATCCATTAAGAGGTGTCTCATCAATATCATGGAGCTCCTCAGGGTCTCTTTCTCCGTGGGTAGAAAGGGGTCGTCGTCTTCCTCCAATGCCTTCGACTTGGTGACAATGAAATGGGAAATCTGGTCATTTAGGGTGTGCAGTGACTGCACGGCTGTGAAAAGACAAAGAAGGAAATGTAACAATGCTACTATTAACACTTCTGCCCACAGGCACATGCACACATGCATCCCAGAGAGTGTCTGCAACCACCCAGTGCCAGGATTGCAAGTGCACACCACCAAAACATGCTTTTAACTTGGTGTGATTGTCAGCTTTGATTGTCAACTTGATACCTAGGGAGAGGGTCTCAGTGAGGGACTGTCTGCATTGGGTTGGCCTGTGAGAGACTGTCTTAAGTTCATTGATGCGAAAAGAACCATCTCACTGTGGGTGAAACCATTCCCTAGGCAGGAAGTCCTAAATTGTCAGAGAATACAAGTAAGCAAGAGAGCCATGTGTTCATTTCTCTTTGCTCTTGACTATGGGTGTGGTGTGACTAACTATTTGAAGTTCTTGCCTTGATCTGTCCACAATGATGGACTGTAACCTGGAATCCCAAACTGGAATCAACCCTATTTTCCCTTAAGTTGCCTTTGACCAAGGCCACATTACATTATATTACATTATATTACATTACATTACAGCCAAAGCAATGAATTCAAGACACATGAGTTCTGGGAATTAAACCTAGGTCTTCGGACTTGTAAAGCAAACAATTTACTGAGTGGGCCATCACCCTGGTCCCATAACCAGTAACCTTGAGTGAGAAACTGATCCACCATTTCCAAAGGGAAATCAAGGGTGCTCACCCAAGGGACTAGCCAGGTAGGTGCAGAGAGCCTGAATCTCTTCAACAGTTTAATAGCTAGGTTGTGTCTGGTGACCACCATTTAAATATTTATTCCAAACTCTATAGAGATCTTGAGGACACATTCATCAGCAAAACCAGATGATGTGGGACCCGCTTCATGGAGCACCCAGTTTCCCCAGGAAGCATACCAGGATAGAGTTAGCTGTGCACCATAGATGTGACTTTTTGGTCAGTATTCAGAAACTAAAGATCAACAGGGTACCAGGGTGTGGCCCTACACTAGATTTAAACTTATGATAGTGCAGGAGGCTATTTCCTCCTGATGCAGATGAACTCTGCCATTAAAGTTTGTGAAGGGGCAATGGCCATGTTTTCCAAACAGTACCACAAGCAAGCTGGAAGGACTGTAATTTCTCTGTCATTCCCACACCAATTATTATCTGACTTGTTTATTATTATTGCTGTCTTTTTCCTATGCACTTGATAAGAGTTTTCATGTGTGCATTTGTACACGGGTATGTGTATAAGTTTATGTATGTGTGTGAATGTTTGTGTGAGTGAGTGTCTTGTGTCTATGCATTGTTATATGTGTGTGTACATGTCCGTTTGTGTGTGTCTGTGTCTATGCATATGTGAATGTGAGTGTGCATGCATGTATGTGTGTGAGAGTATGTGAGTGTGTATGGGATTAAGTGTGTGCATGTGTGTATGGGTATGTGTATGAGTTTATGTGTATATGTGATTATGGGTGTGTATATGTTGAGTGTTTGAGTCTATGTGTGTGTCTATGAATGTGGTGTGTGTGTGTGTGTGTGTGTGTGTGTGTGTGTAAGAGAGAGAGTAGGCCAGAGGTTGATATTAGATATTGTCCTAAGTTTCATGTCTTCTTTTTTGAGACAGGACCTCTCACTGAGCCTGACCCTCATCCTTACAGCAAGACCATCTGACCAGCTGGCTCTATGGGTTTCCCTGTATCTCTTTCCTCAGTGCTACAATTACTGGCAAGTATCACCCTGCCTGGTTTTTTATGTGAGTGCTGGGATCTGAATTCAGGTCCTGATGATTTCCTAGCAAACACATTCACCGAACCACATCCCCAGCCCCCAGAGGTAGTTTAATCTGTTTTCTGCTGTCTCAAACACATGGAATGTCAAATCTCAATAAACATTGTTGAACTAATTTCTTTACCTTTCCTTAAATTCAAAGTCCTTTCCTTATAGCAAAGTCCATAGTTTTCCAGGTAAACCTACACTTTTTTAAGCCAACAAGGAACAACTCCTGGGCATTCTCAGTAAAGCTACCACATGAAAATGATTCTAAAATCCTCCAGGGTCCAGAAATCATCAACAAATTCCAACACAGTAGTAAGGCTTAAGGAGACTGTGCTTCCCCCCAAAGGCAGTTAGAGACACTGCTCACCATCTCACTGTCAACAGCTGGGAAGCCTGAGAGCTATGCTGTACAGATGTGGGGTGGGGCGGGGTGTTGTCTGTAGTCCTTGAAATGGAAGGAGGCTGTGTGATCCTGTTACGTGCATGCAGCTGACATGTGCAACTCTCTGCCCCACATACACACAGTAGATAGAGTTAAAAATTTTAAAGCAAGTCTGATATATATATATATATATATATATATATATATATATATTCAATATTTTTCATATGCACATTATGTTTGTAATATATATATATATACATAATATATATATATATATTCACACACACACACACACACACACTGCAGCTCCTTCCATTGAAAAGTGGAGACTCAATTCCCTGTGAGTCTACCTGGCCCTAGCACAAAAGGTCTGAAGTCTATGGGCAAGTCCATTCTGCATGAAGCTAGCTGCCATGTAAGATACTTGTCATCACCGATACTGATTGTCAAGTGCTGGGATCTAGAATCATCTAGGAGACCCCTGGGCATGTCTGTGAGGGAGCTTATAGATGGGGTTCACTGAGATGGGAACCATTTAATGAACTAGGGTCTTGGATAATGTAGAAACAAAAAAGTGAGTTGAGCACCAGTGTCCATCACTCTCTGCTTCCTGACTATAGATGCAATGTGACCATCCATCTCAAGTCCTTGCTGCTGTGTATTCCCCACCATGATACTGTATACTCTTAACTGTGAGACAGAATAAGCCATTCCTACCTCACGTTGCTGTTGTCAGATGTTGTGTCACAGCAACAAATCACTAACATAGCACTTGAAAAATCAGAGACCATATTTCTCCAAGGAAACCACATATGCAGGTTGCATGGAGAGAGGGAGAGATATTCAGGCAGCTGATGCCATCTGTCTATCCACCCATCTACCCATTCACTTATCCATCTATTCATCCATCCATTCCACTCATACACCTACCTGTCTTCCCATCCATTTATCCATCCATCTACCCACTCACCTACCTATCCATCCACTTATACATTGACCAAGCCATCATTCACATATCCATTCATCTACCTACCCATCCATCCACCTATCCACCTGCCCACCTATCCATCTACTCACCATTCCATTCTCCCATCTACCTATCCATCAATCCATCCATCCATCTATCCACCTATCCATTATCCATACACCTACCAACCCATCCATTTACCTATCTACCTGCCTTTCTATCTACCCATCCACTCATCATTCTAGCTACCTATCCATCTATCCATCTACCTATCCACTTGCCCATCTATCCTTCCAACCACCCATCCACCCACTAATATATCCATCTTCTCATTCACCCATCCACCTATCCATTCATCCCAGGTGGGTAGAAAACTATCTGGCAGGGTTTGAGAAATACCCTCGTGGTTAAAAAAAAAAAATACTTGCTGGTTTTGCAAAGAATCTGAGTTTAGTTTCCATCGACTATGTCTGACTGTTCAAAACTGTATTAACTCCAGCTCCATGGGATCTGACACCCTCTTCTGGCCTCTATAAGTAGGCATATATATGTGGCATACAATCACACAGACATATACAAATAAAAAAATAAGTTAAGAAAACTAACATCCAGGACATTCTGAGGACAGAAGATACAACAAAGAGAAGAGGTGATGAATCTATATTCATGTTCACGAGGAAACCATGTGAATATTCCATCTGCAAGGTCTCGTCCACCTGCCTCATCCAAGTCACCCCAAATGCAACCCTGTCTCAGGAGAGCAGAACCGAGTTGTGTCTCTATCTCATATCCCCCTCTGTGACTCACAAAACAGCATAGCTACATACTGATTAGGGTAACTCAGTTTGGGGGTACTTTGTTATGTAGCAACACTTAACTGTAAAATATAGCTGTGACACCTCCTGAAACTCAGTTCCAACGGTAAAACAATAGTGCTTTCTCACTTCATCGCCATGTGTCCTGTTGCTGTAACAAAGCACTATGACCAGGACAACTGATAAAAGAAAGTATCTAATTTGAGAATCCTAGTTCCAGATAGCTAGAGTCCAGACCATCGTGTTAGGAAACATGACAGCAGCCCTAGCAGGCATGGAGATGGAACATTAGCAGAGAGATCACATCTTGATCTCCCAGCATAAGGCACCTCCCTCAACAAGGCCACACCTCCTAGTCCTTCCCAGGCATTTCCACCAACTGTGGACCAAGCATTTATATGTTTGAGCCTATGGAGGCCATTCTCATTCAAGCCACCACATCATGTCCCCAGCATTAACCACTGCATATAAGACCAAATAAATAGAGATGTGAAAGAGAAAGGTCATAGCACTCCACTCTGTCCCCACTCCTCCCTTGTCATCATAGAACTGGGAAGCTGTACACATTATTCTCCATTTGCACTATAAAATCCTCAGCTAAATAAAGCTGTTCTTAAAGCACATGATGGATTAGAGACTGGAGAGCCACAGACACCATTCCTCCCTACCTGAGGTTAGGAAATGAGGTCATAAAACCCAGTTTACTTGGTTGATTGTATCGAATGTGAAATGACATTCAATCTGCTTGCTGTGTATTATCTTGGTCCACAAATCTGCAGAAACATACTTCTAAAGCAGCTTATTTATCTGAAGTGTTGTCTGAATCTCCCTGAGCATCAATGAGCACTTATTTAGGCTTCTGATATAGATGGCACGCTCATGGTTTGGTAGAATGGAAATAATGCCAAGTCTCAACATTCTGTGTCATTTAAAAAAAATAGAAGACTGAATAAAATTTCTTAATGTGTTCAGAAGCACCCCACTTCTGCTTTTATGGGTCAGATGGAGCACAGAATGTGATATAATAATGATATGACCTCAGATGCTCATTTTACACAGATGAGTCCAGATATCATAGAGAT